AGGCTGGTTTTGAACTCCTGAGCTCAAACAATCCGCCCGCCTCGGCCTCCCAGAGAGCTAGGATTACAGGCGTGAGCCACCGCGCCCGGCCTGTACTTTTTTTTTTTTTTAAGAATTTCTGTACTTTTAACAAGAATCTGTATTTTTAACAAGAATCTTCACAACTCTGCAGGTGAGCTCCAGGATCATTCTTTGATAAAGAATTTATTAAAGTATTTCCGATATGCCCCAAACATTACTTGCTGATCTCTACAAGGCAAAGGTGGTATTTGTTAGTGACATGATTTTGAAGATCTAAATGTAATGAAACACTATGAGTTCAGAAAATATTTTCTTTGACTATTTTAAGCTTATGAAATGTTTTCAAGACACATTTCTAATACATTTGTTGAAAGCAGCTACCCTTTTTTTATTTTCATGAGTGCATACCAAATATTCCTAAATGATTAACCTATGTTCGTATTTGAAATGTTTCTTCCTGAAAATTTTTCTTTGTATTTTCAACGATTTTTTTTCTGGTTATAGCCTAGGCTATTAGGGCTGGAAGAAATCCGAGAGATTATAGTTCAACTTTTTTGTTTTGTGAATGTGGAAATCAAGATGCAAAGGTACAAAGACAGCTGCTGAAAAACATAACTTGAGCTTTCACATATAGACATGGAAAATGTAAATTACAAACATTTCTTAGATGAGGAAATCCTTAACCTTAACCATTTGGTTAAAGCATTTGGTTTTAACCAAATGTTTTGGATCCCTGAGCAAAAAGGCTTCTTGCTGTTAAATTAAATTTAACTTAAAATTGCCTTTGTACATAGCAAACTGCAATATAACTTAGTATGTAAACAAAGTGCAACCTAATTTAAGATTACATTCTTGTAACAAATAGCTAAGTATCATCCAATCACAACAGCCAAGCTTCAGCCAATCACAGGCAGCCAATTGATCAGATCATGTTCATATAAGGAAAATGCCTCATTACACCGTGACCAAATCAGGCAAATGCTGAGCTGTAACCAGTTAAGCTGCTTCTATATATCACTTTCTTTTTCTTTTTATAAATATTGCCTGTTGACATTGCTGGGTGGAGCTCTTTGAACCTCCTCTCCTATTTCTGAATGATGCCCAATTTATGAATTGTTCTTTGCCCAAATAAACTCTGCTAAACTTAATTTGTGTAGTTTTTCTTTTAACATTGTTAACTGTCAAATATACTACTCTATTTAACCCTACCTACTCAACAGAAAATAAAAGACGTGGTTTGAAAGGGTACAGTTGGATTTTATCCATTTTCTATTAATCTTTAGTAGTGAAGACAAGGGCTTAGGGGTTACTAGCTTTTAATAAGGAAGATGCTGATCTTAAAAAGTAGATAATTTCCTCAATTTGTAAGGTTTAGGTAAAATTCAGAAACTTTAGGTATTTTGGGATATATAGCTTGGTCTTTAAGGAACTCTTCAGTGTCAGGACTCTAAGAATTATAGGGGCTGATAAAGTTATTGTTATTTCTCTAGAAACAGATATTTCAAGTGTGATTTGGTTGATACCTAGTTTGAAATCCTTAATAAAACTTTACTCTGTAAGATAGGTATTCTTAAAGCACAATGTGTTATATTGAATTCATTTTTCACTTTGACTTCCTTCATAAACTAATGATATATCCTTGTATATCTTTGGTACCCTTGTGTAATAAAATAGCACTTAAGCACACAGAAAGAAAAGGAAGGAATGCAGAAATAATAAAGAACCACATAAATAAAATGGGAGCTATGAGGTTTTAAATAAAGAGAGAGAATTAAGCCCAAAGAGAAATAAAGATTTTTTAAATCAGATGGGCCTTGAACTCCAACTTCCAAACATAATTAACATTCCAAGAGTGAGAAAAAGAAAGTCAGAGATATTCAATGTCCAAGATGCACTTTTCTCTCAAAGGTAGAAAAAAATCTGCCTCCTTTTGCTCTTTCTTTGTTCTCCATTATAGAAAAATATCTCTAACTATTCTAACACCCAGCACTCCCCAAGAGATTTGTTGCTGCTGTAGACTATAGAATGTTAGTATTCTTGTCTCTTGAATTAATGTTCAAAATTTCATAAATATGAATATTTTTATATAACATTTACAAGATTTTCTGCCAAGTATAAAAATCTCACTGAATGTAAATTTTGCTGAAATTATGTTGACAACATATTATGCAATTTTCATAGTTAATAGTATACATAATAATCTGTAAAAAATAATCTGGTAGCAGATGAAATGGAAATCTTTATATATATTTCTTATATAAAAAATTCACTTGACCACTTCTCAAAGTATTAATATTTAAAAAATAAAAGTGCTAGGTTTGTGCATAGGGAATATTTTAGCATGAGAAACGCTTTGACTCGTCAACATCCTGATGTTGGATAATGTCACCATTAACTGTGTGTGTGTGTACATGTAAGTAAAAATGTTTTATTTTATTTCTCTCCGACTTAAAGTGATTAAATTTTTTGTTTTGTTTGATGGTACATAATTATCACTATTTACTTCATTTTATCTCTTGGACAAAATTTGATGTGATCAAGGATGTGGAATGATGGCACATACTTTGCTTGAATTAAATTATGAGAAAGCACTACATAATTTCAAAGTATTTTTTCTCTTAAAGACATCTTATTTACTTTTTATTATACCATATCTTTTAAATCAATCAGTTCTATTTAAATTAAGAAAACAAAGGTAGAAAAATTCAACAATTTTTCCAGGCTCATGAAGTATGATTGCAGAATTAAAAATAATAGAATTGTAGAATTGCAAGAGAACTTGAAGAGACTACCCATGTTTCTGGTCGTAACTCTTAATTTCAGGGAGGGAGAAAATTGAAGTATGAAGCAGTTAAGTGACTTGCTCAAGATTATATGGTAGGTAGGTGGTAATAGAGCCAAAAGAGAAAGTAGGTTACTCAACTTATGAAGCAGTTAAGTGACTTGATCAAGATTGTATGGTAGGTAGCTAGTAACAGAGCCAGAAGAAAAACTACATTGCCCAATTGCTGGTCCAGGACTCTCTCTACTCTACCTCACTGACTTATGTAGAGTTTGGAGTTTTTATATTTACCTAATTTAGCTGGAGTCAGCAAGCATAGCCCTATGAAACAACTCTTTAATATTTAAAGGAACCTGTTAATCAACTGTAAATTAGAACAGTACTGGGAAGACCAGTGAAGGAACAGCTAAAAAAGAAAATATTCATTATGGAATTTGAGTCAAAATTTAGAGAATAAGAGGAGACACAATGTTGCAAAAGTGAGAACCAGCAATGCATACACTCATTTGGGAGAGTGAAGAAGTTGTTGGAGACCAGGAATGGGATTAGAAAGCAGGATTTACTTGGCTCAAAGAATGCATATTGGGGAGTAACTAGAATGCTGCTTGATGAGAAAGGAATTGGGGGCAGAAAAAGAACAAAAAAGGAAAGGGATTAGCAAGGACTTACTAGGCACAGTAAGGAGTGTCTGCTAAGTTCTAGTGACTAAATATAACTTAACGAGAGCAGTGATGTTTTTGTCTGTTTTGTTCACTGTTGCATCCTCAGTGCCTAGAAGAGTGCCTAGTACATAGCAGGCATTCATTAAATATTTGTTAAATGAACAAATAAATAAATGAATGAGAGATGTGGAAACCAATGAGATTGAAGCTCTTGAACAAAAGAGTAATAAGATAGAAACAGTGCCCAAGGTAGAGTATAGCTGTAAATATGTAATGGATGATGTAACTATGTAAAAGAAAAGGAACAGAGACAAATCTATTAATGTAGCATGACATGAAGACTTAAATAAGAATCATAATCACAGGAAGAGAAAAAATTTAGGGTAGAAGGAAAATAAATGGAGGGAAAAGAACATGATATGGACGTGAGCCAATGGAATGCAAAGGCGAACTGCAAAATCGTTTAGGTTCAAGCTCACTTTTTTCCCATTAAAATGGATATCTGGGAAATTAAGCACTAATGGTTTTATTTTTTGAAATATAAAAGTGGTTTCAGAATCCCTCATAAAACAATGAACCAACTGTAAATTTTTAGTATAATATGTTATAACTTGGGCAAACACAGCTGTTTTTCCAGGGTATCTTTGAAACTATTTTTTAATTGTGGTAACTTTTCACAATAAAATAACCCTGACGTAGGAACTGATGAGATTGACAATGCAGGCTTATCAGTGCCAGTGGAGGTTCTGTAGCTAACCCTTTCAGTGTTCCTATACCCTGTTTAACAATCATCCCAGATTACTACTTTCACTGTGCTTCTCTCAACTGAACCCTGCCGTTCGCTATAGATTGACTGATATCCTTATTTCAATCAAGCACCAAGAAATAAACTAAATTGCTTTCACGTGAACAATTACTTCCTTGCTTTTTTATAAGTGAATGCTTATAACATATCCTGTGTTATTAGAGAGACCTATTTAAAAGCCAAAACCACTGATCTGAATATGTAAATTCTAGAATTTGCAGCACCTTAGATAAACTAAGGTAACTGTTTTCTACTTGATTAATGACAGCAAGAATTAAACCGCAGTAGCTGGCATATGGGAAATTGCTGAGAATGAAGAGCCCATATTTTGGCTGACATGCTGTTTGCCGCTTTCAAGTCTCCTTTTATTTCATCAAGTTCACATGAAGGAGAGAAAAGGCATTGAGTGATGTTCAGAACAATTATAGCACCTTTCTTTTTCTTTCCTGCAAAAAAAGAATAAATTTCTTTTCTTTACTTTACCTACCAATATCTTTTCCATCTCACACGTTTTATTCCTTTTTTAATGACAGATGTTATGAAAGTGGCCTTTGTCATTATACACACTGACCTCTCTTAAGAGCTTAAGCTGTAGAAAACTAATGGAGTCTCCTCATCTTTGAAAATGCCATTGCTCATTGCTACCCCAAACTCATCACCAACATGGAGACACAAAATTCATGGACATATAGGAAGATAAGGAAGAATGTCTGGGAACCTGGTGTGTAAACCTGGGGAAAAATACCTGATAAATAAAAATAAATCCTCTTCTATTTTTAGAAACCTGCTTCTCTATTTCATCCTTTCTGCTATTTTGCAATTATTTGTAAAAGTTTCCTTCTTTCTTTATAATTTATGGTATAATATGATGATTAAAAGTTCAGACTCTGGAGTTGGACTCCCTGTGTTTTGATCTTGGATCTGCCACTTGCTAACTAAGTAACCTTGGGAAAGTTATTTAGCTTCTCTGTGCTTCACTTTCTTCAAATGTAAAGAAAGTATAATAATAGAATCTACCTCTTAGGGTTGCTGAGATCATTAAGTGGAATAATAAATATAAAGTGCTTATGGCATTTGCATGGTATGTACATGCATCATGTTAAGTGTTAGTCGCTATCATTATTATTTCATATTTGGTGCAGATTTTTACAATAGTACCTTTGAATTAGTAACATTTTATTTCTTTTTTCCCTGCTTATAGAAGTAAATATGTTATATGTTGAAATTTTGAACAATTTAGAAGAACTATAAAGAAGAAAAAAATCTCCCTTCTGTAATTTTACTATATCTAGAGGCAGTAATTACTGCCACTATTTTGTGCGTTCCTTCATAACAATAATTAAGTCCATTCTTTCTCTTCTACCTCCTTCCACTACCACCCTTGCTCTAGACACAGAAGAAAGCACAAAATATTTTTATAAAGAGAAACGAATTAGGAAAGGCAACCGATTAGAAAGCAGAAATCTTGGCTTCCCCTCCCTGCTCTTCTTAGATCATTTAAGTAACAATGGGCATTTCACTTACTATCTCCGCATTTTTGTCCCTCCACTGAACTAGTGCAAAACTGGGATAACAAGAGCTTCCCTCTGTCGTTTATACAAAGGTGCTGAGATGCATTACATCCCTTAACTTCTCAAAAGAAAGTTGATACATAGAAAGGGGCAAAGTACAAAGTAGGAGAGTATAGTGCAGCTAAAATCTTAGTCTACGGAGGATGTGTTTTAACAAAATCCCAGAGAAAGCAAAAGACAGGAAGTTGCTATATACTCTCCTTAGCTGCAGGAGCTATGGAGAGGTCTCCTCTAACCTATTAATTATAATGCATTATGGTTTTTAAAGACTGTCCTCTGGTATGCATTTAGAGTAATGTCAAAGAAAAAATTCCATAATAAACATTCATTAATATTATCACTTATTGTATTATCCCATAATAAGCCAAGAAAGAACTCTATGAAATTAGGATAGCTGTGCTCCTCATTTAAATTCACTCTAACGTCTTAATATGCATCTCTCCTGTGGTTACAAAACATCACCATTTTTATCTAATCTGAACCCTCAAGTATCATCTCCATACCAAATAAATAAACGATTCATTTATCCAAAATAAAATGAATCCTTCTGAAATTGGGTGATTTACATAAACATGTGAGATATTAGTTACTTTTGCTAAGAACACAAGAAAAATTTCATCATTTTAATTCATTTCTGGCTTTTCTGCTCCAGATCTTTTCCTACCTAATGTTGAGAGACTTCTTCCGAAGCTCACTCCACTTGAAGTTCATGTTGTCCAAACGTCTTTGTAACAGGACTGCATCATCAGAACCTTCTAGAGATCTCAGGATTTTTTGGCCATTTTCATCCAGGTTGTGATAGATATCCGTGTGAGCTTCGATTTCTCCTTGAAGGTCCTACAGGACAGCAGGAAGAAGAATATGTGCAGAATTACTGAACTGAAAAAAACAGCTATGAATGTGAATTTGGAGAAATGCAAAAAATAAATTATTAGCTCTGAAGACATTTCAATCGGGCCAACTAACATGAAGATAAACCTCAAATCACTTTTCTTGGGGTATTGTCTCTTCATGTTATTATATAGATTGAAAATAGGCATCTTATTAGGTATGATAAATTTACTCCTTGCCATTATGAGTTGGAAAGTAATACATTCATAACTTTATAAATTTCATAAGTTATATCTTTAGGCCATGGACAAAACATATTGTTTTATGGAAGTTATATGAAATAAAATTCTGTGATAAAGTACACTCCAGTGCCAATCATTTCATTGCAATATAGGTTAAGTCATATTTCCATGTAAATAGTATTCTGTAGAGTTGACTCTGACTGTAAAAGCATAGAGAGACTAATAAACAAGGTTGTATTTGATCCATAGCACCAGCATATTAATGGAATCTATCATAGGAGAGAATCTTCTTGACAATACACATTAAGTTCACCTTGGTACTGCAGCATCATACATATATTACAGCATCGTACATTTATTAGTATGACTTCCCATTTAAAATATCGTCATATTTTTAGGCTTGACAACTGGAAAGTCCATAGGACCTTGGTAAGACTTATGATAAGAGGTCATGCATTCAACTTCATTTGTATATACACAGATCAAGAAAATTATCATATTAGAAGAATCTGACCTTTACATGGTATGTCTTCCTGTGTAACATTTTCAGCTTGAACCGGGGACTACAGCACTGATCCTGTTGCATAGCAATTCTGAGAAAACCCAGAAACTGAAAGATCCCTGCTTTAAAATGCCAACTTTGCTTACATTCTGTTGACAGAATGAATTTTGGAGCACAGGCCTCACCAGTCAATAATAATAAATGGCCACTTTGTACTCCTCACTAAACGGTAGCCAGGCGTGTGGATGTGGGAGGGACCTCAAAGAGAGGAGGCCTGGAATATGCAACTGACAGTTTATATTAAACAGCCAACTTTTCTTATCATTTTGCCATTACAAGCCAGAGACATTATAAATTCATTTTATATATGTGTTTCCCTCCTTGTTCCCAGCAGAACAGTCAAAGCCAAGGGAACATTCCTTAGAGAGCTGCTGGGTACCAGCATTCCTTTCTGCCTACACAATGAATGAAGGCTTTGTACATTATCTGACTTGCTCTTGGAGATTTGTATGCTTCTGTTGAACAAGTTTAAAAATTCATTCTGAAGCTCCGAACAATTGGATTGATCTGTGTAACTAGAAAAGTTTTTTCTCTCTTTCTTTCTCTCTCTCTCTCTTTCTAAAATTGAATTAAATTACTCTGCTAAAGTAAGGGGGAAAGAGGCAGCAACTACATGTTGGATATTCTGGAGAATTGGCTCATGTTTTCAATCACAGCCTCTTAAGATGCAGAATTTTGAATGTTGCACGAGTAAGGTAGATGAACAATGAATGTCTCCTGTCACTATTTTTGGCAGCCAAAGTATCACTGATGGACTCTAAAGAGAGTTGTGTCCTATTCTCTTTGATTGGGAGACAGGAAGGGGAATATGGATAGAACCACATCAAAAATTGAAAGAAGGAAAATACTAAAGCAGATTGAGTAGCATCTATCTTTATTTCATCAAAACCAGGCTTGTACTGGAAATATATAGACTGATTTTGAAACTAGTTATGTGGCAGAAAACTATCATTGGGCTTCTTGCAGAGTGGAATTTGGTCAAATATACATCTATTTGATTTTTTTCTTTTTTATTCTTTTACCTACCTGGAATAACATGCCTGCCTAATTTGCTACTTCTTCAGCAAAAGAAAAAAGTGAGGTGATTTATGTAAATACCCCAACCAGATTCCAAGTTCCGTATAATTTCCTCACTTGTCTTTTACTTTACTTCTCCTATTGTATTTGATTTGTACACTACCTAAACTTTACCTCCAAGTATATACTTGGGGATTAAAGCCAAACTTTTAGTTGTTCAAGAAAATTAAGTATTTTGACTAATAAGATCAGTTTTCTACATTAATGTGCATATAAACAATAGTATATTTGAACTTTTATATTAATATCATGCATTGATATAGCAGAGATCTAGTCCCAGTCATTAGTTCCTTAAGATCAAGGATATTATGAAGCCATTGACACTTTCTTTGTTGACTAAAGAAAGTCTTTCAAAGCATAAATAGGATGTTGATTGATGAATTTGCTAATTTTCATCTTTGCCATGTACGTTATACTGCATAAAAACATTTTTGTTGTATTATCAATACAGAAATAAGTATAAAATTGGTAAAGTATTTATTATATCAAAGACTGATTATTTGTCTAGTTTTAGCACTGTGGGAAATATAAGAGGAATGCAAGAGACAGTTCTGTCTTTAATTTCCTAAAATCTAATGTGCATTTTATTTAATTCATTTATATTACCAACTAAATATTGATGAGAATTTCTTGCCAAACCTCATAGATACTGAGATAAAAACCTCTCTCTTTAGAAATGCAAAAGTGGCTGAAGTAAAGTTTTAGCACTGGGAGGAAGGTAACTCATATGTCAGTACTACTTTTCTAGGTCATGATGGTAGTTTAGAGCAATAAACGACACATGTACAGGAAAGGGCTTTATAGGTTACACAGCACTTACAAATGCACTGCCTTAGTTTTTCCTCCTCCTGGCTCTGTGAATTACATCACATTTTCTGTTTTGCAGATGAGACCACTGAGGATCAGACATGTTGCCTAAAAGTCACATATCTAGTAACTGGGAATTGGATCCAGTTCTCTCGACTCTAGAAGATCTTGGGCTGTCTCTGCCAACACATCTGCTATAAGCCTTGGATGTAACATACAGTAGTTATTAAAGCTGAATGAGGATGTTACTCAGAAGAGGGAAAAAATTATTGTTGAGGGGAAAACACAGTGAAAGACAGCATTCCTGATTTTGATAAACCATTTACCTACATAGATGGCTTTTTTTCTGAATGAAAAATGGAATCCTGACTACCTTTTTCATTTCTCGTTTTGCAATGGGGCATCAGGGACCACCTGTAAGCAAAAACTGTAATGATAAGGTCTCCTTACTACAAAATATCCTGCTGCCAGAACAGAAATTCTCCCATTAATAAATCATCTCTTTGTCTACAAGAGCCATGTGAACTATGAGCCACACCAGTTAGTGACTTGGCATAGTTTGACCATGCTCCTTTCTCGGAAGGCAGGATAGTAGGGATCTGTCAAGCTACAGGACTCAGGCAGGTTGCCCTAAAAGCGAGGTGAGTATCAGCAAAGAACACAAGGCCATCTATCTAAGGCTGGCATAGTGTAGTGGAGATTTTTCAGTACCAATAGGCAGCATGAGTACTAGGCGGGGAGGACAGGGCAGGTAGAAAGACACATAGTCACATTTGCATAAAACTACCATGAAGACATTTGTCTTAAGACTAAACTTTAGACTTAGGGGGTACAAAGAAGCAGGAGGTTGGTATAGAGAATCAAGTGGGGTTCTCAGAGTGTAGTCAATCTGGGCACAGGGTAATTTTCATAGAAAATTTTAGATAGTTTTATTTCACTTCTGACTTAACTAGAAAATATCACTCAAGCCTTAGTCCTTAGTTACTACATTCACTGCATTTCGTGTAATTTTCTCTTCTTGTGATTGCATTCTTTAGGAAGAATAATAATGAACAGGAGGAAAAAAGCATTTGTTACAAAACAACAAAAACCACAGCAGCAGCAGCCACAGCAACAACATATCTAAGACTTACTGTGTATCAGGCACTATCCAAAGCGCTGTGTATACATGAGCTCATTTTATCCTCTTAATAAGCCTCTAGGGTAGGCATTATTATTATCTTCATTTTCCATATAAGAAAATGAAATTACGGAAAGGTTGACTAAAAATGTCCAAGGTCGCACAGCTAATAAACGATGCAGCAAGATTTCAAACCCAGGCAGTCAGACTCTAGGGATTGTGGTCTTAACCACTAGGCTGTATTATCTCTGAGTTTTAGTTTGTTGATGGCAATTTTTCCTATTAATAATGCCCCCTTCGAAATTTTAGTAAATCTAGCACTGCCATTACACAATGAGGGATAACATTGTTTTCAGCACTCAAAGAGTAATTTTTTGGCTTTATTAATATGGAGACTGCTAAACAGATCTGTAGCAGTAGACAGAAATATATCCAATGTAATAAGAGAGAACATAAAGTAATTAAGAAAATGGGTATAAATGGAAAAATAATGTGTGCTCTCCTAAAAGAAACATATAGCCTAAAGTTCTGTATAATTATGGAGCAAATTTCAGCTGTGAGTACTAAAAAAGTTGAGATATGAGATAAGCAATATGTTCATAGTGTAGTTGTTTTAGGAGTAGGGGGATACTGTTTTCTGGAGGATTTGTACAAATCCCAAATTTCCTTCTTACCTAAGAGTCTAGGCTACTCCTGTTGTAAATCCCCCTTGTCAGCCTCCAGGGAAAACTCATGGCAAAATGCAGTTAAATAGACATAGGTTTGCCTCTTCCCAGTTCTCTTTCCCTTATTAGCTGCATAACATTGAAAACTCTTTAATCTCTTTGGCTTCACTAAATATTAAATAATAATACCTACCTGCTGGGTTGTTTTGAATATTACATGGAATAATTTTTGTAAAATACTTTGAATGGCATCCAGAACACAGGAAGTCTTTAATAAATAACAGCTAATGTAAGGCTTACTATTATAAGAGAATCCATGTGGAAATCAAGTGACAGAAATAAATTGCATGAAGTCATGTACTTGGCTTGAGCCTTGAGGGATGAATAGGACTGAGAAATGTGGAGCAAAGAGGATATTTCAGGTAAAAAGAATAGCATGGAAATGGCATAAAGGTGATATGAGTTTGGTTTCTGAGCACGGACAATTAATTCACAACCTGATTAGAATGTATGATGAGTGTTAGGTAGAATGT